GGACAACACCCTGCCCCCTAGCCTCCAGGGGGAGACCCCGGCCCCTGCCCACACTGGGGAGACTTTGGCCCCCAAACTGCAGGGGAAGATTCCAGTCCCCAGCCCTGCCCCCTGCAGGGAGACCCCCACACTGGGGAGACTTTGGCCCCCAAACTGCAGGGGAAGATTCCAGTCCCCAGCCCTGCCCCCTGCAGGGAGACCCCCACCCTCTAACTGCTCCTGCTCCAGGGCCCCCCAGACACCTACCCCCTGTGGGCACCAGGACATCAGGAAGACTCCACCTCCCACCCCCTGTGACTCCCCCAGCTGGCTGGAGCCCAGGGTGACGGGGCACATCCCACAGCTCTGCCAGCAGGCCCAGAGGCTACGGGGGGGGGGGGACCAGGGAGAGGGCACACGCAACCCCACGGGGGGTGGGGGACCAGGGAGAGGGCACAGGCAGCCCCAGCCAATGGGGCATCTCCCCTGGGCCTCTGCCCACCTCCAGCACGGCCAGGCAATGAGGGGAGTTAGCCTGCAGCCAAAGGGGCCTGGCAGGGCAGTGGTGCACGGTGTGGGGGGCATCCCCTGTGTGGGGCCCCAATGCCTGGCAGAGAGCACGGATCCCCTTGCTGGGGGCGCAGGGTGTTCCTAGGGCAGGTAGTGCCCAGATCATAAGAACAGCCAGACGGGGTCAGACCAATGGTCCATCCCGGCTAAGAGCCACTGATGGACCTAACCTCCACGAATGTATCTAGGTCTCTTGAACCCCGTTAGAGTCCTGGCCTTCACCACATCCCCCGGCAAGGAGTTCCACAGGTTGTGCGCTGTGGGAAGAAAAATGTCCTTTGGTTTGTTTTAAACCTGCCACCTGTTCACTGCATGGGGCGACCCCTCGTTCTAGCAACAGGGAAATAACTTTTCCTTATTCACTTTCTCCACGCCTGTCACCATTGCATAGATCTCAGGCATCTCCCCCCTCAGTCTCCTCTTTTTCAAAGCTGGAAAGGCCACGTCTTTGTCATTTCTCTTCCCGTGGGACCCGTCCCGAACCCCTCCTCCTTTTCGTTGCCCTTTTCCGAACCTTTTCCAATGCCAAGAGACCTTTTTGGAGAGGAGGTGACCACATCTGGACGCCGTGTTCCAGATGTGGACAAACCATGGATTTATCCAGAGGCAATAAGATATTCTTATTCACTGTCCCTCTTTTAACGATTCCTAACGTTCTCTTTGTTTTGTGACGGCCGCTGCGCCCGTCGTGGATGTTCTCAGAGAACTCTCCGCACTCCACCGTGACTTCGAGATCTCTCTCTCGAGCAGTGGTGGCTAATTTAGTCCCCGTCGTTTTCTACCGGTAGTTTCCAATGTGCATTACGTTGCATTGATCAACATTAAAATTCATCTGCCGTTTTGTTGCGCCGCCACTTAGTTTGGTGAGATCCTGTGACGTAGTGGGGGGGCTGTCTGCTCTGTAACCCGGGGTCCCCACCTGGCTGGTCTGTGTGATTCCCATTGACTCACCCACATGTGGATTGGCCCAGACACCTAGGCCCAGCCTGAGCAGATACCAGGGCTCTTCCCAGAGGGAGAGACAAAGGAAGGGAGGTGGAGACAGACACCTGGCTGGGGGGCAGGGCAGTCGGCGTATGGGGCAGCAAGGAGACTACAAAGCAATATGGGGGTTCAGGGGCCAGTAGGGAAGTAGATCTGTTGGCCTATCCTATGCCTACATCAAACCTATGAGCTGTGTCTAGACTGCATCCCTTTTCCGGAAAAGGGATGCAAATTAGACACATCGCTATTGCAAATGAAGCGAGGATTTAAATCTCCCCCACTTCATTTGCATAAAAATGGCTGCCGCTTTTTTCCAGCTCGGAGCTTTGCTGGGCTAGACGGGGATCTTTCGGAAAATAAAGCCTTTTCCGAAAGATCCCTTATTCCTCTTAAAAAAAGGAATCTTGAAGAATCAATAAACCCATTGTTACTATCCTGGCTGGCGGAGCGTCACCACTGGCCGAGGACGGGGGTGCACGGTCAGGGGGCTCCCCGATACGCAGTCACAGATTCTTTGGAAGCTCTTCGCAGGCTGCTTTGGTCCGGACTATCTTGAGCAGTTTGGAATCATCTGCAGATTTTGCCACCTCCCTGTTTACCCCTTTTTCCAGATCACTTAAGAGTGTGTTGAGTAGGAGGGGTCCCAGGACAGACCTTGGGGGACACCACTAGTTACCTCTCTCCATTCTGAAAACTGACCATTGATTCCTACCCTTGGTTTCCTGTCTTTTAACCAGTTCTCAGTCCTTCTTACCCCATGACAGCTTCCTTTGCTTAAGAGCTTTTGGTGAAGAACCTTGTCAAAGGCTTTCTGGAACCCTAAGGTCACTATCTCCACTAGATCCCCCGTGTCCACATGCTGGCTGCCCCCCTCTAATAGATTGGTGAAGCAGGATTTCCCTGGATCGATACCATATTGACTTTCCCCAACAAAAACTCCTGATCCCGTCGACAGGTTTTGTGAGTTACGGTGCTGCTAGACTGTTGATTGTTTCTGACGTTTTCCCAGTGACAGAGTAACTCCCCCCGCTGAAGCGTCCCAACAAACGACATTCATCTGCGTGGCTCACAGTTCTGTTCTTTTACTGCCGTTTCAACCTATGTGCCCCGACACGCCGTTCGTCGTGCTGGGCTGTGATTGCCAGGGTCACCGCTTGAGCCCTTTTTCAAGATGGGCGTCACATTAGCTACTTTCTGACGTTTTCCCAGTGACAGAGTAACTCCCCCCGCTGAAGCGTCCCAACAAACGACATTCATCTGCGTGGCTCACAGTTCTGTTCTTTTACTGCCGTTTCAACCTATGTGCCCCGACACGCCGTTCGTCGTGCTGGGCTGTGATTGCCAGGGTCACCGCTTGAGCCCTTTTTCAAGATGGGCGTCACATTAGCTACCCTCATCAACCCAGCCACGCCCCCCCCCACATGCCCCATTCGCAGGGCGTCATGGGATTCCTCCTCTGCTAGCCAGGCAGAGATGGCAAGATGCCTGGCGTGGCCCCATGGGGCCCCACCTGTGGCTCGGGGGGGGTG